TGTTCAACGACTTTCTTTAGTAGCTGACAAAACAGTGCAGGGAAAAATAATCTCCATGTTTCAAGGAATTATTATCAACAGATGGACTGTGTCCCAGCATCAGAGGAACACAAAAACTCATTCACAGTGGCACAGCATTAAGTGTTCGGGTGTGGGTGGTATCAGATATCTCAACTTTGGAAAACCACAAATACCTCAATTTAGCTGAAGCAGAACTTTGTGCTGTGTCAAAGGCACAGCCCATTTCTATGGTGTAAATGCTCCCCCTCTGGCTCATTTTAAGCTCCAGAACACGAAAACACTGAACACAGGGTTGGAGGAGGTGGAGAGCTAGTATGAGCTGTCTCTAGCCCACACTTATCTAGGTATACTAGATGGCGGGGACAGCAGGAACTCAAAGAATATTATATATACTAGGGATTTTAAGTAAGTAATGTGTCACGGAATGGGGGTGCATGCTGTGAAATGGGTTGTTAGGGGATTTTATTTAAGATTTATTTTTAGTTATTTATGCATACAAGAACTGGGGTGTAGGCCAGAGGTGTGGGAGGTGAGAGGATTCACCAGAGACAGAGTGGGAACAGAACAGGCAGATCCATTGAAATACACTGCTGAGGGGAGCAGTGGGTGAGACAGGAGAGGTCTGTTGCACCATGTGGGTCACCTCCCTCGCTCTGGATTGAACTCATGGACCGAGGTGGGTGGGGAATCTTACTCATCCCCAATAGCTTTATAGCGCTGAGATTTTAACTCCTGCACCACCAGGGAGGCCCCTACTTAGGGGATTTTGTTATGCAAATACCACAGAGTGTAACTACACAAACCTTCTACCCACTGACTCTCTTCCAAAGGTCTAGATATTACCTCTAGGAACCTTAACTCCCCTTCACCTGCCAGCTGTGCCCAGCCCAGCTTCTGAGCCTGTACTCATACTGAAGTTACCAGAATTTTCATGTCTGTCCCCTTCCAAATTTGGCCTCCTCCTGGGGTCAGAGTCAGTCTCATCTCCCTCTTTATCCAAGACCTAGCCAAGTGTCTGGCACATAGTAGGTGCTCAAACAACAGAGTCCCATCGAATTAGAGCACTGGATATTCACTGAGGAATGTAAAAATTGGAATAAAATTTTCCCTGAAAATCCTTTACATCATCTGGAGAGCGATGATTCACTTTCACAAAGGTATGCAATATTAGCACGTTATTTGGGACTGTTGAATGAACCCTAATATGCATTCTGTGAATACAAGGTAGCTTTTAGCATCGGATCGGGGCCTTGGAAGCTCAGTGGGAGCAGAGGCAATGCTGCCATGTCCAGTGTGGCTGAATTTTAATGAATTCTTGATAACATGAAGCAGGCTCAACAGTACTGTTCCCATAACGAATGTTCCATGGCCATGCACCTAACAGCCTCACCACACAGCAAAGCTTAAAGTTCTGAAACAAAAACACAGCTATAAAAAAACCTGGACTTGTTGAAGTATTAACAGAAACTTTACTCATTTATAGCCAATGGTACAGACGCTGCGAAGACAAGGCCACATGCTTGTCTGATGTTGCCAAGCACAAGGCCACTCAGGGGATATACAGGCCCCGACGCCAGTCTAGGGCATTATTGCCTGTCTGTGTATCCCGGGCCTAAAACTGGGACCTAACGGTCATGAGAGGGAACTGACAGTCACGGGAGGGAATCAGGCAGTAAGTGAGGACTTAATTCTACTCCCACAGGCAAAGTACTTATGTGAAGTTTTCTTCTTGAATATCACTGGAGATTATAAATGAGTAAAGACAGCATCCTTGACCTAGTGGAATTTACAGTATTATGGGTAATAAGACCCACACATATTATTATAATAATCATGGTAGATTCGAGAAGAGAAAGTGGTACTTGGGAGAAGGATGAAATTGGGGAAATAATTCATGGTCAGAGGTGCCAGGTATGTTAAGCATGGAGGGCATCGAGGTAGGGGCTCCCACACCATCTGTCCAGTCTGCTCACCAGCCACTTCAGTGGCTTCCCCTCCAGTCCTCTGACCTGCTCACCCTGCATCTTCTCACAGGATGTGCCCCCCTGAAACAACAAGCATGGAGTTCACTCCTCTGCACCTGGTCCTTTTCTCTTTACCCCGGCCCCTCTGGCTGGAAAGCCATTTCAACTTGCCATCTTGGATAAGTTGCAATTATCATTAATTAATCCTGGTTTTTACTCCATCTCATTTCTACCGCCTTCTATCACCTAATCTGTGGTATTAGAGTCACTGATCGATATCACTGGTCAAACATCTGTCCCCCCAGACTGTAAGCTCCTTGGGGGAGGAGACTGCACTTCTTTGGTCTCTGTATTCCCACCTCTTTGCACAGTGGGGCAGGCACAGATGTTCTGGAATGTTTCCTGACTGTATTGTTGCACACTGAGCGCTGTTTTGTGGCTAGACTCTAGATGAGCACGTAAAGTTAAAGAGGAACAGACTAGTGACACTGGCTTTTCTTTCTGCCTCTATACATCTGTTTTGGGCTAAATTGTATACCCTCCAAAATTATATGTTCAAGTACCAACTCTAGAACCTCATACTGTACTGTATTTGGAGAGGTCTTTAAAGAGGCTACTGAATTAAAATGAGGCCACTAGGCTGCTGGGAATTGGGCTAATCCACTATGATTGGTGTCCCTATATGGGGAGGGGAAGACACAGAAGGGCCAAGCACAGAGGGCCAGCCACACGAGGACAAAATAGCCTAAAAACCAACAATACAACCAGGAGAGGGACCTCAGAGGAGACCCAGCTGCCGCAGACTTGACTGGACTTCCAGTCTCCAGAGCCGGTAGAAAATACATTCCTGTTGTTTAAGCCTTCCATGGGTGTTTTGTTATAGCAGCCCTAGCAAGACAAGCCAGCATCTTTACATCATCAATAAACGTGGACCTAGTGCTGTGTATGCCACTGCATACAGCTTCTTAGAAAGGTTTCAATATTTAAATGCCATCTTCCATCAGCGCCTATGAATCATTAAGACTGACTTTCTCAGTGGGTAGGAGAATGGGAGCCGGGAATTCAAAATCACTATATTTGGGGGATCAGGACCTAAGTTTTTCCCCACCCTACATACAACCTGGAGAAGACTGGGGTCACTTGACTTGAGGTGGGGGGCTGTGAATTCAAAACTTGAGTTTGTTCTTAATACAGGAGCTCAACAGGGAGCAGTGAGGTAAATTTTTTGAGAAGGAAAGGTCGCAGGGAGAGTCTACCGGCCCTCACTGCATGTGCAAAGACAACAGGTCTTGTTTAGCTCGTCGTACAACTCAGGTATTTAGCTTGGGACTTAGAACTAAGTTCTGAGAAGCAGATGTTTTTATATCTTCATTTATGGGCAGGGAAACTGAAGTCCTGGGAAGCTGATAGACCTGCCCAAGGTCCAAATAAGTGGCAGAACTGGAGACACAGACCTGGCTGCCTCCCAGTCTGTACCCGCCTAGCTCATGTGCTCGCTTTGGCGGGTGGATCAACATCTCTGGCACTCACCCTGCACGTTGGGCCAGGGAACGTGCCAGGGCCTCCAAGCTCTGACCGGACAAGTTAGATCTCATATCGTGTCCTTTACCAAGATTCAGTCTAAAGTACACAGAGCAGCTTTTGCCCTAGATTATTTCTTTTTTTTTTTTTTTTAAAGATTTATTATTTATTTATTTATTTATTTATACAAGCACTGGGGTACAGTCGGAAGCACGGGAGGGTGAGAGAATTCACCAGAGCCAGAGTGGGGAGCAGAACAGGCAGAGTGATGAAATACACTGCTGAGGGGAGCAGCGGGCATGGCAGGAGAGGTCTGCGCGCCATGTGGGACCCTCGCCGGCAGCCGGGGATCGAACTGGCGCTGCAGAGGCTGCAGGCAGCTTTGCAGCCCAGTGCTCAACCACTGCGCCACCAGGGGAGGCCCCCTAGATTATTTCAAAGAGGCTTATTACCCCGAGATATCCCATGGAAATGGCTCTTGGGTCAGAAACATCTGGAAGTCCCCTCCCTGCCTTGGAGGTTACACTGCACACCAGCAGATGCTAAAAGTTCTGCAGTTGTGTTTTTAAATTTGTTTCCTTCACATAAACTAAGGTTTCCCCAATCTATTTGAAGCACAGAATTGTTCTCTACATGTTTCAGTGAATACAGCACAAAGAAATACTGCCAGATGGGGCTGAAGAGGTGGAAAGGAGCAGGCTGAGCTACTTTTGGATACAGTAACTGAAATGCAGACTTTCCCTCACCCCCCTTAATTATCAAATCATTTGTCATGTTTACTTTGGTGCTTATTGAGAAACTAAACAGTTAAAACAAATCAGAGGCTCCATCAAGAAGGGAAGGGCCATCTGTGCCCTCAAATCTCTTGGATCATCCTCCACCTCCACCCAGCACCATTCCATTCTTTGGGTCCCCACCTACAGTCCCCTCTTTGGACTGCCCTCCCACCACTGCAGATGACCCCACTCCCAACTCCTGCAAGGCAGAAGCAAGACAGGGGGCACCAGACTCTGCCCAGCACAGTACAGCCAGAGCTGGCATTTCAGAGAAACGAGTTATTGGAGCCCCCTCTCTGCCTCTGGGTTTTCAGGTAGGAAAACGCTCAGTACATCCATCCCCACGGGGGAGACAGATGGCCACATTTCCTCTAACATTTCCAGATGACGAATGCCACGATTCTCTAATTCTCTTTTTGCTTATTTTCAGCGTCTAGCTTTCTACAACGAATACGCAGCACTTGCATGTTACAAAAGAGCAAAGTGGGGTGGGGTAGTCGGTAGAAGCAGGAAGGAGAGGCAGGAGGCAGGCTGAGGGGGAAATAAACCCTGAGATCTCCAGGGAAGGCCACTGCATAAGCTCGCCGAGCAAAATACACCATCATCCCCCAGAGGCGCAGGTTCGGACCTGCCTCAGCTCCTGTTTGCAGCATCACCCTCCCAGAGACCCCTTCATGGAGCTGAGCGACCAGACCTCGGGGGCCGGCAGACTCCTTACCCACTCGAAAGATCAGATCGTCCTCGATGGGATTCTCTTTTCGCTTCCCGGTGCTGTACATGCTCGCGGGCCTCTTCACCGCCTTCTGCTTGACATGCCCACTGCCCGGGGACTTCACGCGCCGCTTCACGCCCTCGGTGGTGGGGGACACGTCGGCGGAGCGGATGACCTTGAGCTTGAAGGGGCTGCCTCGGATGTGCTGGTCGTACAGTCGCAGGGACAGGGTGAAGTCCCCCTCCTTCTGCACGGTGTACAGAAACTCGTAGGTGCCGTTTTTGTTGTCCAGGATCTCCCCGTCGGCCACGCTGCCGTCGGGCGTGCTCAGCTCGGCCGTGAGGTAGGCGTTGCCGGTCTTGCAGAGCTCGCCGTCCTTGTCCTTGGTGGTGATGGTCACGGACATGGGCTGCCCGATGATGGTCTGCCGCAGCCCCTCGCCCGTGGCCACCGTCTCCGAGGCGACGGCGTTGGTGGTTAAAATCGTGCCCAGGTTGTGGATGGACTTCTTGAGCCCCTCGGTCTCCACGAGGAAATCCAGCTGGTCGTTCTCGCGCGGGTGCAGCGGGAAATCCTGGTCCGCCAGTTCGTTCAGCTTCTCGCTCATCTGCTTCTTGACCAGCAGCACCTCGGTCTCCGTGCCATGGTTCAGGGCCTGCGCCGTGAAGTTGCTGCAGCTCTTGATGCTCTCCTGTCCCTCCAGCAGCGTGTCCAGCTGCGACTGCAGGACCTGCGGGAGACGCGGGAGGGTGAGGGCTCCCTGCGCCCCAGGCTGCACCCCCGCTCGCCCGCGCTGTGCTGCGGCGGCGACGCCCCGGCCTGCGCCCTAGCTGGGCGGAACGCAGCGTCTGCACCTGCGCGCGCGGCAGTGGCTGGAAGCAAGGGGTGTTTCACCCAACCCAGCGAACCCGGTTCTCATGCATAATCCTAAACCAAGGCAGGACCTTCTCTTTCCCACCCGCCTCTCCCACACGCATAATTCTGGGGTCAAGTGTTTTCCACTAGGGCGACAGAAGCGCCACCGCCAAGAGCTTGGCACCAGATCACTATGCCTGACATCTGAAATATTCCTTGTTCTCACTCCCGCTCTCATGGCCAAAGCGCCCCTGTCAACCCCTAAAGAAACAGAAACCAGACCAACCTACTCCCAGCAGCCGGATATCTGAAGCTTTTCAAGCCTGGCTCTGTGATTGGACAAGCAAGTTAACAAAGGCTGCAGTCAGGGCTGGCTTGGAAGTTGACTAACAGGTTGGTGTGGGAGAGAGAGCAATTAAGAGATTATTAGACATTATAATTAAGGAAGGAAAACAAGCCAGCTTAACCCTAAATCCTGAAAGCACTACTTTACATTCAACTTCACCTTGTGTCAAATTATAAATTGGTACTTAAAGTTACAGAATCACAGATTTTTGCTGAAAACAGGAAGGAAAAAAGAGCTCGCAGTGCCATGAAAACTACTGTGCAGTGCACGACAGCGACATTCACGAATCCTCTGGAGGCCTCTCTGCTGCTGTTAAAATGAAATAGCAAGTCAGAGCCCAAGGGCCCTGGGTATGGCGTCTCCTACCAATCTGGAGTCTTACTTTGTGTTTGAGACCATAGTTGACCTCCAGTTCCATTAGCAGCACGCTCTTGCGCACGTTTAGAGTCTTCTGGAGCTCATCGAAGGTGGAATGGATATCATCCACAATGCTGGCCTTCTGGTTGGTTAACTGATGGATGATTTCTGAGATGAACTGAAGAGCAGAATCTATTTCTGGGAGCCTGGAGGACAGTTGTCAGAGGTTATTATTTAACAATAATCCAAATATAGTCTTAAAAAATCTATCTGAACACTTAATTTTGTCCAAAACCCTTTTTTATACCTTTCATCATCCTGAAAGATAGCTGAAGAACAGACTGAATAAAACATAATTACTACCTATGAGAGAAGGGACTTGGAAGGTCTATGTCTATTTCAAATTATTTCAATCACCTGACTTTACTAATGGATGGTCCAAAGCCTTGAAGCTCTCTGGACCCTAACAGCTTCACCTCGCACTCTAAGTCAGACTTGTTCAAACTGGACACTAATATTTTGGGCCAGATTATTGTTTTGCTGCAGGGGACTATCCTGTGTGTTGCAGGATGTACAACAGCATCCTGACCTCTACTGGATGCCCTCGGTACCACTCCCCCACCCCCTTAGCCTCCCACCCCCTGCCTGCACACAGTTGTGATGCTAAAAATGTCTCCCGGCATTGCAAATGTCGGGGGTGGGGTAATCACCCAGACCTGAGACACACTAGTCTAAATATAGGCTCTATCTTTCCCCCCAATCACTTGAAAAACTTCTCCAGACTCAAGAGTTTCCTAGGAGCATCTTGCAAGTTTCCAAGTTCTTTTACTTAGTACACAATAACCACACTTTTCTCACTGTAATTATGGTGAAAAGGTTTATTTTCAGCTAGCTGTTTATTTCCTCTCTTTGATCTCTCTCATGCATCACACAACTGCTCTGCTCCTTCATTTCCATGCCAAAGAGAAAGTGTGGAAGCAGAGAAACACCGGGTAAGTTGAGCACTGCAGCTCGATACCATTTTGCTGGATTCAGAGAGAGAGAGAGAGAGAGAGAGAGAGAGAGAGAGGAGCCAGACATGGATTTCAGTGACCTCCGGAGAGCATTTCCCTTACTCATTTAGTCATGCGCATATACTAAAACAAAAAAGTCACTTGTAACAGGAGGAGTTTGGGATTTTACCAAGGGCTGGGGGATGATGGTCCCTACTCATTAGTTTATGGCCACAGGCCTGTGAGAAAAGGAGACTTTATTGAAGGAGTGTATAGGGTGGCCCCCTAGAACAGAGGATAGCATGAACCAACCACCCCACTGAGACAGAGGGCAGAAGGCCACACCAGTGGGGAACCCGGGCAGGTGTGCACACCTTTTGTTGACGGCGTCCAGCTGCACCTGGAGCGAGGCCTTGTGCTGCTCCACCACATCCTTGAGGGGGACAGTGGGGTGCTCTGCATGCTCCCCCTCGGTGCACTCCCGACACATGGCCGTCTCACAGGACTGGCAGTAAAAGTCCATCACCTGCAGGGGACACAAGAACAATGCCAGGTTTGGCGCTGCTGACAGAGGCTGCTACCGGCTTTCTCTCATGGCCTCCCCAGGATGCCCATACCATGATGTGCAGTTTCACAGGAGAGGAAGGATTAACATTTGCTTATTTATTGAGTCATAATGAATATAAGACATTAGCTTCGGGTGACAACATAAGGATTTGATATTTGACTATATGGCAAGGACTAGTCAATGTCTATCCCCACACATAACCACAGAAAATTTTTTTCTAATGAGGACTTTTAGGATCTACTCTCAGCAACTTTCACATTTACAATGTATCACTGGGTATGGTATTAAGTATAGTCACCATATACATAAGTCACCACGACTTATTTTATAACTGGAAGTTGGTGCCTTTTGATCTCCTTTTATGTCAAGGAGGATAAACCTTCTGGTGCCATGTAACAAGAGGAGCAGCTGGACCCCACAGCTGATGTTTGGTCACTCCCCTGTGGCTGTGGTCTCAGGCCTCTTTAGACACTTTATAAATCACTGAGGACGCCAAAGTGCTGTTGTTTAGCTGAGTTAAATGATAGATATTTATTATACTAAAAGAGAAAATGAATATATTTTAAAATATTTTGTCATTTATTAAAAGCAATAATAATAAGCCCATCTGATATCAACAGGAAGAAAATATATGGAAAATAACTATATTCTGCAAAACAGAAACTGAGATGGTGGCGTTTTCCATTTTGTAATCACTTCAGTGTTTGGCTTAATAGAAGGCAGCTGGATTCTCATATCCGCTTCGGCATTCAGTCTGCTGAGATAACACATGTCACATCATCTCTGGAAATTCCACTGCACATTCTTGAGAGAATGAGATTTTAGGTTCCTGAATACAATAACTCTCTCACCCAGAGTCTAGGTAATTTCTTGCACATAGTAGGTATCAATAACTCTGCTAAATGAGAGAATACTCTTAGCCACGATTTGGACAACCCCCAAAGATACCACAGGAGGCACAGAGGAGAAATTAGGTATTAGAAATTAGCTATTCCTAATTAGGAATAGCTATTTTATGTAATTCTTTCTGAAGCCGATGTTTCCAGGAATAAAAATTTAGTTTGGTTATATTATTTTGGAAGCAGTCTTCTCCAGTGAACCAAATCCAGATAGAAGTCCTTCAAACTATCACTAAGAAAATATTAAAATCTCACTTGACATTAAAATTTGAAATAGGCAGATAGTAGATAAGGGATTTGAAATACACTATTTTATTTTTGTCTTATAAGATTTGATACCGTATATTTTGTCCCACTGCAGACATTTTAGGAATATGCTTAGACCATCCATTGGAAGTTTCCGCTCTTTATCCATCGTTACTCAAAACATTTCTCCACACAGTCTATTAACAATGTATTTTAATAAACATACTCAAATAAAAATCCAAATGCTATGTGGGAAGATTATTGAACTGGTCACCCATGACTCAGGGCAATTTGGATTCATTCAATCCTGCAGAGGACTGGCACATACAAGCAGGGGCTCAAATAATGTCACTTCCTTGCAAGGTTGATGAGAAAAAAATATCCTAGCTGACCTTGAATGAAATTACTTTATTCACAGACCTGGTCTCACATGTCATTTCACTTAAAACCACAGTTTCCAAGAACCCATTCACAATTGTAAGTGAGGATTCCGCTTACATCAAGTGACAAGTGCAGAGACACAAAGCAGACTGGTGGCTGCCAGGGGTTGGTGGGGAGGATTGGGGGCACGGGGGTGGGGGTGCTGCTTAATAGGCATGGAGTTTCTTTGGGGGATGATGAAAGAATTAATCAATTAGGGGCCTCCCCTGGTGGAGCAGTGGTTGAGCACAGGGCTGCGAAGCTGCCCACAGCCTCTGCAGCACCGGTTTGATCCCTGGCCACCAGCCACCAGCCACCAGCGAGGGTCCCACATGGTGTGCAGACCTCTCCTGCTGTGCCCGCTGCTCCCCTCAGCAGTGTATTTCATTGGTCTGCCTGCTCTGTTCCCTGCTCTGGCTCTGGTGAATTTTCTCACCCTCCCGTGCTTCTGACTGTGCCCAGTGCTTGTATAAATAAATAAATAAATCTTAAAAAAAAAAAAAAAGAATTCATCAATTAGATAGTGATGATGCTTGCATAAACTTTTGAATATGCCCAAAGTACTAAATTGGACACTTTAAAATGGTTAAAATATTGAATTTTATATTATGTGAATTTTAGCTCAATAAAAAAAGAATGGATTGCTGCTTTGACGAGAGAGCAGCAGGCCTGAGGGATTGTCCCTGGTTCAGTATCCTAAGTGTTTCTTGGGACACAGAGACCCTGGGATCATTCAAATGCTTGTACCCAGATACTGACAGCTTTGACTCAAGCAGGGAGATCATTGCTCATTGTTCATTGGGTGTGCAACTGGCTCATCCATCTTGAGCAAGATGCTGCTGTGCTCCCAGGGCCAGGTGGTCAGAAGGCAAGTGAGCATGCTGTTGTGGACAGCAGTCCCCATCAGTGCTCACTAGACGAGAACGTCATGAGACCATATGCATCACTAACATCATGGTCAGGGCTTTGCTGGCAACGCTGAGGCTTCTGGAAGCGGGACTAGTTATAATGAGGATTTCTCCTCTGTGCCTCCTAACATCCTTGTTAGTAAGGTACCTAAGTGAGCAATCATAGGGTTTAATGATCATCTGTGTGTAGGGACTGCAGGACAGGAGCTCAAATGTCTGCTTTAAGTGCACAGAACGTCTTAAATCACTGGCGATTTTTCCCATTTTTCTTTGCATTTGGACAATGCAGCCATGGCAGTTTAATGAGAAGACAGTGTCATAGCACTTAAAGTAAATGACAGGGTTTCATCCACATGTGCTAATCAGCACCAGGCACTTTATGATGGCAACATCCTGCCTTATTGTTAATTACCCAATTTTATTAACCTTCAGATGCTTGAATTGTTTTTAAAGATGTACCCATAGCAATTACTGCAGCAATTTATCTGTAACATTGCATGCATTTGGCTGGAATATGCACTGAGGACTCCTGTTTCACAGTGGGAGCAGTGAAATTCTATAATGGATGATGAGAGACTAGAATCATTCAAGACATATGCTGCTAATTTTCTACAACCTCTTGCTGGTTTATAAATTGTATGATTCCAAGGACTCATAACGAATGACCCAAGATAAAGACAATGCTCAGACTTTAGTTTCATTCAACCTCAAGAAAGAGCAAATATTTTCGATACATTTAATTTTCAGTGCGATTTGATGTGATGATACCTTTGGTAGAAAAATAAGGGAAAGTTTTAAACTCAGGAGTCTGACTTTGCTGGCGTTAGCATCTCTAAGAGCCTTTCTGCTTGACAGTCTATGGCATTCAAGAATCTCTGCTTGCTGGGGCACTCAGAAAATACACTTTTAGGAATTCTTTTATTTGTCCTTCAGACACTTCAGTAGATTTCTGTCTACAGTTTCAAGACTGACAGTGCTATTTTACCAAAAGTAACAGTAATCTTAAAGAGCTAATCTCTATCTCAGCTGATATTTCAGGGACCCAAGCCAGAGCTGGGAACCACCTTTTCCTTGCCAGCCCATCAATTCTTATACTGCCCACTTCTTCAGTCTTGCCTCTGCTGCTCAGGATCAGGCCCCCTCCATGGATTGTTCCAGCAAGCTCCCAGGTGACTTCAAGCCTCAGGTTCATTCCCTTTGCATCTACCTCTATCCCTTCATATCTCCAACTATTTGAAATGAGCTAAATGCAAATCTTACCTCAGCACGCCAATGCTTGACAATCTTTAGTAAATGCTATGATGTAGAACATATTCAAGTTCCTTAAAACGCGTCTAGTGCCCTCCAGGACCTGGCCTGTTAACTCATCTGCCTGTCAGCCTCTCCTCCTGGCTCCCAGGACTCTGGGCTGATGCAGAGAATGACAGTCTCTCTGCTCTTATATTGTCTCTGCCACTGTGTCCCTTCTGGACAGAAGGACCCTTCCCTTTTTCCATACAGTACTATACTGTGAACCTACTAATTAAGAAACAAGCATAACTCTCTCTATATAAACACACAAGCATAGACACATATATTGGCGTAAGTGTCTTCTGTTTCTTAAAAAGCATCAGTTTTAATGGCCACTCAAAATCAGTTATATGGACTTGCCATAATCTAGTCATTTCTATAACATTGCACATTCAGATTATTTCCAATTTTTGCTACAATATAAAAAGTTCAGTTAATCTTCTTATATCAAATCTTTATCCTCATCTCCAGCTATTTCCTTAGAAATATTTCTGTTAGTGTAATTACTGGATTAAAAGGAGGAGTTATATAAATAACACTCATATTTTGCCAAACTGACATAACGTTTCTGAAGAGTAATTTACCCTCCCACCCACGGCATATGAACCTGTCTCACCATCAACTCTTGTTATTACCTTTTTATAGAAACTGCAGCTAGTTTAAGAAAATTTGACTATTTGTGAAGCTTATTTTTTTCCTCCTATGATTATTAACCATTTATAATGCCCTGAGTTCTTTGCCCATTTTCTGGTGATGTTCTTATTTTTCAAAGTTTGCAAATACTCTTACATTATAAGAATTTGCTGGGAGTATTTTAATTAAGAATTTTACAGTGACTTTCACAAACTGAATGATTAATAGTTTTCTTCTTGTTCTGTCTTTACTAGACTTTGGTGTCAGAGGTATATCATGGATGCACTGGGAAATTTCTATCTTATTTTTTAAAAAGATTTATTTATTTATGCATACAAGAACTGGACTACAGGCCAGAGGTGTGGGGGTGAGAGGATTCATCAGAGACAGAGTGGGGAACAGAACAGGAAGATGGACTGAAATACACTGCTGAGGGGAGCAGCAGGAGAGTCAGGAGAGGTCTGCTGCACCATATGGGTAGTTCCCTGGTCGGAGATTGAACTCGTGCTGCAGTGGCTGCAGATAGCTTCATAGGTTGTGTCTTAGCCCCCTGCACCACCAGGGAGATCTGGAACTTTCTATTTTATGATCCAGAACTATACAATGAATGATCCAAAACTATATATGAATCACATCCATTTTTATGTAGGTTTGGAGGAATTCAGTTTTAAATGAACTTTTACTAGTTTATTTCAAGATTATCAGTCTACTCAGGTTTTCTTGATCACTTGTAACTTCCTAGATAACTATCTATTTGCTTAGACTTTCAGTGGTACAGCCTTCAATACATAGAAATGACAATTTATTTTGAAATCCTCTCATCTGTACTGATTTCCTTATTTGTCCTAAGTTGATATATTTATATTTCCCCTTTGTTGCTTTATCAGATGTCATAAATTTTTAATTTTTAAAAAAAATTTATTTATGCATACCAGAGCTGGGGTATAGGCCAGAGGTGTTGGGGGTGGTGGTGAGAGGATTCACCAGAGACAGAGTGGGGCACAGAACAGACAGACTAACTGAAATACACTGCTGAGGAGTGGGAGAGTGGTAGGTGAGTCAGGAGAGGTCTGCTGCGCCATGTGGGATTGAACTTGTGCTGTAGTGGCTGCGAATAACTTCTTAGGTTGCTTCTTAACCCCTTGCGCCACCAGGAAGGCCCTTACTTTAGTAATTTTTAAGAAAACATTTGACTTCTGGGTTTATTTATCCACTCCATTATTTTATTTGTTTCAAGCTTTCTACGTCTGCTTTCTTCTGCCTGGTCCAGCTCACGGGCCAGCACCTCCCAGCAGGGCACACCTGTGGCCTTGCCCTTCGCCCACAAGAAAGCTTTCCCCACTGCCTGCCTGTGGGTCTCTGCCAAAACACAAGTGGTGTGTCTGACTTTCTATTAGAGGGTGCTAAAAAAAAACCCCGAAGCTTTTGTTTGTGCCCATTGGGTTGGTCTCCATTTCCACACTTTCATGTATAATATACGGTGCCTAGTGCCCGGGTGTAATGGAGAACATGGTCCCTGCCCTCTGGGAGCTCCCTTTCTAAAAGTAAAGCAAGAATATCCATAAATCAAGAAATACACAGAGAAAGCAGGCTGAGTGAAGGGCATCGAGGAAATCAAGGAGGCCAGACGGCAGGTAACTTTGGGGTGTTGGAAGGGGTGTCTTAGCAGGTATCGCCAGAGAGGACTGCTCCCTGGAGGAGACTGAGCTAAACCACGAAGGGTGAGGATGAGCTAGACCCTTAGGAGCGAGCAAAGTGCACGCCAGGCAGAAGGAGCAGAGGAGAGTCAAGCCCAAGGTGGGAAACCACCTGGAAGTTCCAGGTCAGGGAGGCAGCAGCTTAGCGGGCACAGAGAGTATGGAAAGACAATGAGGGCAGGAGTGAAGGCTGCTAATACCTGCCTTGCTCTAACAATCTCTCGTTGCCTTGGTGGATTTATTACATGTGGGCATTGCATCAACAGTAGTTTCAACTTTGAAGTGGCCATTATAGAAAGAAAAAAAGTGAATAAAGTCATCACTAGAAATAATCTTAATAGTAATAAGTCACTGAGAGCTTACCATCTGCTTTACATGACTTAAGCATTTAATTACCCCAATAATCCTATATGATAAATATTAGTATTACTTCCTTTTTACAGACAAGGAAGCGAGACACAGAAAGTCTAATAAACTTGCTGATGCTGACCCAAAGAATAAACCAAAGAGTAGGGCTTGAATCAGACAGTGCAACTCCTGAGCCGCTGCGCAGTGCTGCTGCTGAGGGGTACACAGCTGCTGTGAATCAGTTATTGGTGGAACACACAGGTCCTCCTAAGCCTATAACAGATGTTATGTTGTCAGTAGGAGAAACTGTTTGGAATTCATAATCTATAATCTATTCTCAATAGCTTCTAATTCTATTAAGGAAAAAACTAGAGCCTCCTGGAGCATGAGAAAAATTTCCTTCCCAAGAAAAATAAAGAACTCTAGTTAATTAACATTTTAATGATCCTTCTCAGTTTACAGAACTTATCTATTATTAAATCTTTATCTATAATTTACTACACAGATGCTTATGTGGGTCAAAGAATGCCCAGCTTGCAACAGCGATTGCTTTGCTCTCCGGGGAAAACCAACAAAATGTGCTAAGCAGACACAATGAAGATTGATGCTATTATTTAAACAAATTTGGTCTGAGAAAGTAAGCAGGTAAAATAGTTGGAGAGGGCTAACATACATCATTTTTAATCCCTCATTGTTCAGAGTGCTGCCTTAGTGCAGTAACTTTTCATGTAGAACCAGGGCCTACTCAAATCAAAGCAGCCGGCCAGGCACTATCTGGTCTGCGCTCACTTACATTCCCATCGTGGTTTGGGCAAGAGAGAGGCTTCCCGGCAGCCACCGCAGTGACTGTCTCCAGGATGGAGGACTCCTCGACGTTGCTGCCAGGAGTTCGCTGCAGCACGTCCATCAGGTTCGTGATGAAGAAGTTGTTCTGGAGTGCGGCCACCCCCTTCTCGGGCAGGATGGAGGTCTGGCGGCACACTGGGCAGGACAGGGTTAAACTGTGGGCGGGAATGTAGTTCTGCAGGCACCTGGGGTAAGAACAGAGAGGGAGGGCTGTCAGCTGGGGCTAACAGGGGGGTTCAGGGAACAGAACCCCTGCTTCTGGATGGTCCCAGCATGTTCTTAGTGACCTTCTTGCAGGACTCCCTTCAGAGTCTGCTTTTGAGGAAAATGAGATTTGGAAACCAAGAGGTAATGGGTACTCCTCCCGACCCTCCAACGGATCAGCAGATGGCTGTGACAAGGCAAGGACAATGTCTCAATGCTGGTGGGGCTTTGCATCCTGGTCACACCTGTGGAAAGTGCTCCAGGAAAGAGCAGCCCCAGTTCCAGAGCCCAGGAGAAACGCCAGCTGGTAGGTGGTGCTCCCGCTGAATGCACACATCCTGGGCAGTTTGCACACAGGCTGAGATTAAGAAGCATTGGCCTAGAACATCTGGTGTGCTGCTCCCAGATTCATGGACATTTCCAATTGGGAGAGTGTATCACACTTTTCACCCTGAGTTTTGGCAAACATTCAACTTTTTACATACCAAACCACAAGCACATCTCAGATGTTAAAAATACATCAAAGTGGAATTTTCTTTTTAGAAGTTTGGGCAAGAAAGGCTTCTTTCTTATCCCCCAGTTAGCAATGTTTTGTTGGAAGCAGGGGTGGGGCACCAGAGTCACACCAACGTGAACTCTTTTTGCTGCTCCTCTCCTGGCATCAACTGATATGATTTAGTTAGTGTGATGTATTGTCAATTACTAACGTGGGCACTGAATTCACAGGACTTCTAATGACCTGTGAAGTGGGTGCTATTGTGATCGGCTTCAGGCATATGGGGAAATATAGGCAAAGTTCCTCGCCTGTTATAGGAAGGTGGTCAGAGGGGGAGTGGGGGTTCAGACCCAGGCCATTTGGCACCAGAAAATAAGTTTTACAGAACTGCAGGCTACACTGTTTCCCAGTAGCTCAGCCAAAGAGAATTTGCAAATCTCCTATTTTTGCCAAGTCCCCCTTATTCTGCACATGAGGAAACTGACTGCAGGAAGTTCATGGGCCTCCCCCTCTGTCACAGAATCAAACCCAGAAATCAAACAGCTTTCGCTAAGGCCACTACTGACATCTAAACCCAACAGACACTTTCGACTCCTACCTTCCGACACTTCTCAGCAGCATTTCCAGTCTGGACCGCTGCCTCCAATTATCGCCTTTTGGGGAAAATTTCTCTTCCCTTGGTTGTGACATCACATTCACCTGGTTCTCCTTCTACCTTTTCTTGTGGCCCATAGAAAAGAGACTCCATTGTAAAAGCCCTCACGTCTCCCTGAGAGATGACATCAGTGAATGTGCTGGACAAATTGCCCTCACATGTCAAAATTCACCCCCAGCGTCCCCTCTGAGTCTTAAGGTCTGTACACCAACTGCTTTCTTGACATCTCCTCTCAGATGTCTTGTACTCCTGAAGCTCAACATGTCCAAGGCCAAACCCATGATCTTCCTCCAAACTGAGTCCTCTTCCTAGCTCAGGGAATAGCATCTCCACCCAGTCATCTTACACAACCTAGAAACTAGGAGTTTTTCTGAAGAGGGTAACTCCCTGCGTCCTTCATTTTCCATATTCAACCCGCCACCAAAGCCTGTCAAGTCCTACAGCCTGTCTGACATCTCCAGTTCTCTTCGTCTGAACCTCACACACACTTTCCTTAGGTTTCTGCAACAGTTTTATACCTGGTATATTGTCATCCACTGGTACTCCTTTAACCCTTCTCATGTTGCAACCAGAGTGACCTCAAAACTTAAAACTTCTATTTCTAAGATGAACATCTTCTCACGACTTCCACTGTACTGACAACAGAGGGCAGAACTCATATGTGGAACATGGATTATGCACCATCCTGATCTGGCACTTTCTTCTTTCTGTCTCATTCCGTCATTTACTGTACCGCAGTCATGCAGGGCTTATTTAGGTTCTTCCAAGTGTCCTGTTCCCTCACACTCTACATACCTGAAATGATTTCTTCCTGCTCATGCCCCTTTGCTAAATTCAATTTCATTTATACTTGGGGCTTCTATTTCATCACCACTTCTGAAGCAAAGATTTCCCTGATTCAAGCAAATTCCTCTATTATGTGGTTGCTTCTGTCCTTCTGGGGTGAGACACTGGACACTGGTTAATGTCTCATGAGCCCTAGTGATCAGGTTAAAGACTGACTCTTCCACTGACCCTAAGCTGTCTGGTTTTACTCCCCTTCCAAGCCTCAGTGATGCCACGGACACTGAGAGTGACTGTGAGAAGATGTTTGCCAATAAGCTGGTGTGTGCCTAGCAGTGGCTGGTGGTCAGAGGTCCCAGGACCGAGTTTCCTGACAGTGAGCCCAGTCACGAAATAACATAAACAAAAATCATAAACATAACATAAACAAAAATCATCCCATTCTATGGAAAGTCCCCAGCATCTTCAGAAGACAATAATTTCAATTCAGCATATGATACTGAAACTATTTTAACATGTAACATTCCACAGAGCCTTGTGTGGCAGGAGCTGGAAAGTCTCTGCCACTAGTTATTGGATGGAAGATTGAAGTGGTTTAGGTGAGACTGGGGAGGGGCGGGGGGACAGCAGGCAGGGGGAAGACCCAGGGCAGCCCAGAAGTGTTGCTTCTCACCTGCTGGAGCGAGAGAATGTGAGCCAAACTAACAGGCTGGGCACTGAACAGTGGGGAATGGGGCAGTTGCACACAGCTCAGACTGAGTGGCCTCCACACTGAATATAAAGAGCACCAGGCGGTGTCAACTGCTGCAAATCAAATAATGCCCTTATTGTGTGAGCCCTGGACACATGGACAGTTAGCGCGATTCATGTTTTAGCTATACCCATTGAGACATTTTGGAATACCGGTTATAAATTACTTATTATAAAGTACTTACAGCGAACTTTACAGTGAAGAAATATTGATGTCCTAAGGACAACTACTAAAACAAACAAAAATCACACACACACACACACACACCCCAAATCCACAACATAAAATAAAGCAGAACCCAACAAAGAATCATCACCATCAGTAACAAATTCACCTTCTGCTTCCAGCTGTCACCACCAAGATGTAGTTATTCTGTTGCAACTGAGACCTTCCAAAGTAAATCAATTTTAAGAACACTGAATTAAATAACAAATGCAAGTTAAATTGGATGGTAAAATGTAAATAGCATGGAGTTGAAGCAATTAGAAAAACCAATTTCCTGTTCTATAACAGGAAGTGAAGCATTGTAACAATGTGTAAAATAATAGAAAATGTATTTAATGAAAAACTATGAAACATAATTACTAAATTTATATATTTTTAAAATATACCCCTACTAGGCAAATACTTAAATTGGGCCACAGTCTTTTTCTGCTTAATTACTTACATGTAAATTGAACAAGGAGGTAAATGTGTATTTAGATATCTGATTAACTCAGTGGAAAAAACTATTTAAGAAGGTTCAATAAGGAATGTTATCACATATAGCAAATTGCATATTCAGGTAATTTATAATTATTTCAAATATATTGTTTTCCTTCATCTGAAACATCATAATGTTCAAATGTGTCATTAGTGTGTGTTTTTTGAAGTATTATAAGAAAATTCTGTCCTTTTAACTAACTCCCCAGATACACAGGTATTTTACCTTTCATATGGGAGGAGATAGTAGATTTTCAAAATTATTTGATTGAAGTAACACTGCATTATAACATTATATAAGTCAGGTGTGCATCATTATAAATCAACATCTGTATTTACTACATTAAGTTCACCTCTAAAAGCCCAATTCTGTCACCATATAAGTGACCCCTTTAACCCTAATTTCCCACCTTCCCTACCTTTCCTTTCTCGTAACCACTAATGGTACTCACCAAAGATCCTCTGTGAGGGTGATGTGGCTAACAAAAATTGTCTCACAAAGAACAAATATAAACTTTTTGGGAAATCTTTAAGTATTTAATGTTTCATCTCCTAAGGAACTGAATCAGTAGCTACTGAATGGCTTTCTCCCACTTAGAATGATTTGAAATAAAGTGATTTATTGACAACTCCTGACTATGGTTCTAGATGTCTATCAGATACACAAAAGATTTACTGTTTCCCATAGGTAACTGGAAAGAACCCTTTCTAAGGTGGGAAGGGATCAGTGTCATCTTGAAGCAGAAGAAAGCTCACCTCTCGCAGAAAGTGTGCAGGCAGGGGAGAACCTTGGGGTTCTTGTACCGCTCCAGGCATATACTGCAAATCAGAAACTGCTTGTCGATCTGACGCACCACAGGACTTGGGATGTTGGTGGCTTCACTGGCCATCCTAGACCACTGACATGGGGGGCCGACTTTCCTTGACCCTGCACGCCGCTGCTGTTGGACAGAAACAGCAAGACAGAACCACATTTAATAACCTGAGGAGTAGTTCAACCTTCGACTCATTCACAATAGGCGCTGAGTGAGAGGCTCCAGACCTCAAAAGGAACATCCCCAACCCTCCCCACCCTCTAGAGGAAGCACAGTCAGCTGCTCGTTTGTTTTGTAAATCAACGGAACAGTCACGTGTTCACCATGCAAACAAAACAAATCAGAAGGTGTGTTAAACAAAGAGAGGCTTGCAGAGTTCAAAGCAGTGGCAGCCAGAGCATAAATATTCACATAATGTGGCTGTTCAGGCCGTCAGTTGTGACTATACTTGGCTATTTAGTCTAATTAAATATAGTCTCATTATAATTTATATCAAATAAAAGTCTTATTAAAATAGATCTCTTTCGCAACTATTGTACTTAAAGGGGATCATATTTAGGGCTACCCCTAAATATGCCACTTTGACTTCAGATTATTTTGAGTGGGAAGCAATTGAGAAACAGTACACGTGGGAGGGGTTTTCTGCCCTCTCCCATCTGTCGAAAAGTAGGGCACACATTTCCCATTTGTAAAGGAAATTCTCATTTGTAAAGGTGCCCTGCTTACTCATGCCAGGAAGGGAAGACTTAATCACTAGAGATGACACCTCGGGGAGTCCGCGTATACCCTAGGAAATCACCCTTCCTACCAGAGATTTCTTGGTCACTTGCTCATAGATCACTGCCCCTAGGGATCCAGACTCCCCCTTTCTTTTTCTAGTCTGTGCTCCACAATGTGTCCCCCCTTGTTAAAATAGTATATAAGCTCCTGGTCTACCCACCTCTTCAGTTTTCACCACTTTTTGGTTATCCCTCTATCCATGCATGTAAAATTTAAAACAGTAAGTCAGTAAAATTCAAGAAAATGTAAGGTATATTTTATTTTATTTTAGAAAAAGAAAAACATCACAGACATTTTCTCTTGATTATCTTTTGTTAGTTTAATTCACAGATGTCAGTTAAGAATTAGGAATGTGAGGAAAGTGTGAATATTATTGCGACGATGGTTTCTATTCTGCTTCACGATGGTTAGGTCAACAACGGACCTGAGGTTGGAGATGGTCCCTGTCGGCTACACCCTCTGTATCGGATGCACAGTAGGTGATACTGTCTAGGCTCCTGTGATTACACCCCCTGATGGTCCCACAACAAAATCACCTAACAATGCATTTCTCAGCACATATCCTGCCGTTAGGCCACACGTGACTGTACTTTTATATGCAGACATGAAATAATTAGACTTTAATTAAAAACTCTGTATGTGGTTCAGAGCATTTTCTTTAAAACTAAAGGCTTGCAGATTTCATACTAAAATGTATTTGTCATGGAGGAGGGACAAAGGTTTCAGATAGTGCCAATTATTTTAATAAATATCTAATGGTATTTAGATGTGGTTATTTGAAGCATCTGCTGAAGTGAATTAGCTCAGAAAAGTTTTCAAAATACGAGGGAGCATGCCAGAAAAGGAGAGTTAGAAGATCAGAGAAGAGAGTAGAGGGTGTATGAGAGAATAAGGGAGGAAAGTTACAACATAAAGCAGTTTCATTCACCTTAAAGAATTCCTGACTTATACAGCAAAAGGATAAACTGCGGCTGAGCTAAAATTCATTACCTAATTCTGTCAATAGTTAAGAGGCCCACAGTTCTCTAATTTCTAGTAAAAATGTTCTTTCCAAAAAACAAACAAAAACCACAGTTAATTTTCAACATGGCCTGAGGCAGGATACCTAGGTCTCCTTCTGTTAAAAACTAAGGCTCAGGCAAGAACTGTGCTGCAGGCCACACTCAGCTGTGGCTGTCTCTGAAACTCAGAGTCTTTTCACTCTGGAAACCACCATGCCTCCCTTGACCTTGTGTCTTAAGAAGGCTGTAAAGGGAAGCTTCATTTATCTATAACATTTTCATGTAGCCTGGACCTGTGTTTGAAGCTGGGAAATAGAAGATATTTACAAAATGAACATTTCCACACACTCTAAAAGAAACTTTCTTCCAAACAGATATGGTTGTTCTTCTTTCTCCCCACCAAATCATCAAGCTGTTCAAAGATTATATCAACTTTTATTAAATTCCTATAGTTTTCACATATTTGAGTGTGTTTACAAACACAAGATACCCATTTCCCCACACTTTACGTTCTAACAAGTTCATTAAAGAGCGTGACCATAGATAGAACTTTGTGAAGGCACCTGCTACACCAGAAGGTCATGTTCAAACAGAATTCTCTGCTGAGCTACACAATGTAGGTGTGATATATCCAATTAGTCAGCATTACCTCCTAGACTTTCATAGCCCCTTCCTAAAGAACTAGAGTAGAGGATGATTTCCAGTGACGAGATAAAAGTACCTCATGTCTCAGGACCTCAAAATGTTGGTACATTCCCTGTTTTTCTTCAGCTATTGATACATCCTTATGACTTCAGAATAGGTAAGGAATGGATTTGTCTACCTTTAAGATAAGGAAACCACATATGTGTTATAAACCAATGTTATCTCAATAAAAACAAATAGAGTCATATAAGACAGTAAATATGCAATCCTTTCTACGATGTAAGAATGTCTGTACATTTAAACAAACTCCCCACACCACTCAAAAAAAAAAAAAAGATAAGGAAATCAAAGCTGAGGATTTAAATGATTTGCCCAAGGTCATCGAATAAAATCAGGGAATCAGAAAGCTTGAAACCTAAGCTTATTGAGAAAGTCAGTAAAACCTAATCTTATATTTAACACTTCACTGGTCTGTGTGTGTGTCTTAGAAAAATGCTAGGGTGCTTACTTCAGCAGTGCAAAAATTGATGCTGCAGAAGATGGCATGACCCCGAGTGAGGATTTGCCAAGTGTTTCATTTATTTTTTATTATATTAAACTTTCCATTGAAAACAGTTAAAAAATGTTATTTTGAATAGCTTTTGAAGCTGTTTAAATTGTTCTTTGAAATAATCATCAAGCGGGGTATTAAAAACAGCAGAGAAAACATCATATTGGATTTAACTCTTTTGAACCTTAATTTTGGAGTGTGGCAAGGAAAAGAAATATTGGTTTAATCAAATGACATATATTGACTAAATGAAATTTCCTCAGCAGACATTTTAATTCTACAAAGCTGAAATAAAAATACTTTAACAATCTTGTGATCATTATTGTAGCGGGTAAGAGCAAGTCTATGTTAGTATTGTTAATTTTTATGGGAAATTAAGCTCACTCATTAACACTAATTTAAAATTATGACAATAGTACAGATCTTTCACCAGTGACCAGTTGAAGACAGCTCAATTTTCAGCTCTCCCACAATGAACCCCAAAGGCCTCCAACTCCCAAAGGTCCCCAAACCGAGACTTTGCCAAGATAACAGTCATTTCCTGCATAACTGGATCCATACAATAGGAAGAGAATTTGACTTGTCCTAAAGGGACAATATGCTCAGAAAAATGGAGGCGCCAAATGTACTAATGGGTGCTGCGGGAACCCTTCCATCCCTATGATGATGCCGAGGGGAAAATACACAAGATACACGACAGTTTTTAATCAAAGTGTTTGGGCCCTACCACTGTTTCTAGTCTTTTTTTTTCTTAAAGATTTATTTATTTATGCATACAAGAACTGGGGTGTAAGCCAGAGGTGCAGGGGGTGAGAGGATTCACCAGAGACAGAGTGGGGAACAGGACAGGTGGATGTACTGAAATACACTGCTGAGGGGAGCAGTGGGTGAGTCAGGAGAGGTCTGCTGTGCCTTGTGGGTAGCTCCCTGGCCGGGGATCAAACTCGTGCTGCAGTGGCAGTGGACAGCTTCATAGGTTGTGTCTTAATCCCTTGTGCCACCAGAGATGCCCTGTTTCTGGGCTTGATTAGAAGCACAGTAAATACTTCCCTAGAGTCTTGACTGGTCTCCTTTCCCAATCTTGGCTCCTGAAGTGTCAAAGATCTTTCTTACTCACATACCCAGCAGTAACATGTGCAGGGCATTAACGTGGCTGAGGCTGGAGAATGCCTCTTCTGTTGGAGATTAGTGACATGCATGTCTGGAGAGACTCATGTGCCCACACATCTGGGTGGACTTTGTCTTGAAGGAGATTTTGGAGGCGGGGACTAGTGCCAGACATGCTGGCACTAGGCTAACGGGAGCTGCCAAAGAAGCATCATGGAAAGAGCTTTAAGCTCTTTAAATCTACATCACACCAACATGGGTATGACATTGACATGAACCAGCTATAGGTGCTTGCACGTGGGGAGACTGAGGTTCCATGTTGCTGGAGAACCAAGAACAATACTGCTGGTGGGGCTCTCTGCCACCCCAGCTCTTTGCTCACCATCACCTTCTCATTCTGACCATTCCAGTTTTTTTTTTAAAGGGTTTATTTTATTTTATATATTTTAAAAGATTTATTTATTTATGCAAGCACTGGGTACAGTCAGAAGCGCGGGAGGGTGAGCAAATTCACCAGAGCCAGAGGGGAGAGCAGAGCAGGCAGAAGGACCGAAGAACACTGCTGAGGGGAGCAGTGGGCACAGCAGGAGAGGTCTGGCTGCCATGTGGAACTCTCGCCCAGCAGCTGGGGATCGAACCAGCACTGTAGAGGCTGTGGGCAGCTTCACAACACAGCACTCAACCGCTGTGCCACCGGGGAGGCCCTAAGGTTTATTTTTTATATTTATTTATGCATACAAGAACTGGAGTATAGGTCAGAGGTGAGAGGATTCACCAGAGACAGAGTGGGGAGCAGAACAGGCAGCTATACTATAATACACTGCTGAGGGGAGCAGCATGCGGGCAAGACAGGAGAAGTCTGCTGCGCCATGTAGGTTAGGTCCCTGACTGGGGATCGAACTTCATGCCACAGTAGCTTCATTCACAGTAGTAGGTGAAAAGCTCGACAGCACTGAGACTTTAACCCCTTGCCTGGACCATTCCATTTTAAATTGAAATGTGCCCCCACTCCCCTAGCACTTGTGACCTGTTCTCCTGCAGCACTTTGTAATCAGTAGGTGATGCATTCATTTTGCATAATGTGTCTCCCTCCGCCCTGCCCCACTGGGATATAAGATTCACAGGATGTTTTTATCTGATTGCTCATTGCAGTTGTTCCAGCACCTAAAACTGTGCCTGGTACATCGTAGGACACATTATTATTATTTGTTTTGAATGAACTATATAGCATATCCCAGTAGCAGAAAAGAGGGATCTGGGTTGAATGACGTGACAGTCTGATGGCTGTTCTCACTTGCCATCAAACAGTCCCTGCCTCCCCATGTGGTAGTCTAATGCTCAGCAACATAAGTCATCACCCAGGGAGTAAATATTTAGTGACCTATTTTAACACCCAAATGCAGGAAAAGAAATTGAGCACCATTATGGATGCTTGGAATATATACAGAAATAAAAAGTCTAAGAAGGTTGACATATAAATTCCTTACTAGTGGGAACTTGCCAATTGAACAGTTTGTTGTGGGTAAAAGCAAAGCAACAATAACATCACAAAATCCTTGGGCAAGAAAATTCCCATTCCAGCACTGCTTCCTCATGTCATCGCTGCTGGTATTTTTACTGGCTCACTTTTTCAAATCTCTGGCAAGTTGGTGGAAATGACAACTACGTCGAACAGAATAACTTGATAGGAGAGGAAAATGTCTGTGTCTGCAATTCTAAGGTTGAGAGCATTGTTTCCACCCCAAATCACAGCATTTAGACCAGTAGATTATCAATTCTTTACTGCTGACACCAGAGCGAGCAGGAAGGAGGGCGGAGAAGTCAGACCCTGAACGCAGTCCCTGGAGGGGAAGGGAGTTGAAAACGAGAATGGCTGGACCATGACACACAGGTGGGCAACAGGTCAAGATTCCGAGGGAAAATAAAACTTCAACATGTGATTGTGGATAGGAGGCAATAGGTTTGATCACAAAGCATTCTGAGGGCACTAGATCACATTTCTATAGATTAATTTTCTGGTATTCCCAGATTACTCTATCTGTTGCCACTCAGTTGAATTTATTCATTAATGTAGTTACATTTTTTATTATTCTTCAGTCAATGATATTGGTGTTAAAGTCAGCTTTCCAAAGAGTTAAAAAAATTTCTGATACAACTGTAGAAAGGAAATCTTGAAGCATTAGGATCAGCTATAATAACGCACAACATGTCAACTTTTAGCTGTCAGGACAGATGGTACCTCAAGCTGTGAGTAAAGAAACAAGGTACTTTGGATTCTAAAATGTAGGCACATATTATCATTCACCTGCAACTGACTTTGCATTGTTACTGAGGACAACTGGAAGGAAGAAAAGAGGGCAATCTTTAATGAAATTAAAAACAGGATGACCTATTTCCAGTTATATCAAGTCTCTATCCCAAATGGGCCATTTTGTAAATTAGAAGGCCAGATGCAATATCTTTCCTGGTAGTAGGGGGTGTGTGTCTGTGTGTGTGTCTGTGTTTGTGTGTATGTATGTGTGTGTGTGTGTGTGTGTGTGTGTGTGTGTGTGTGTTTGGGCTGGGCGTCATTCAGGGTGTCCTCCACTTAACTTCAGCCTCCAGGTTAGGATGTACCTAAGTTTTCCAAGGACTCTCCATTTGATCCCCAGGGTCAGATACATGGCAGCTTCCATAGATAGCTGGTTTTTACTATAGTAGTTGAATTTTAAGCCAATTGTCTTTATGGTATTTAGATCTATTTCCTCTACCTCTTTCCTAAGCATAGGTATGGCTACTTGCCATTCATTGCCTTCTTCATACAAGTCTTCACCTTGTGCAGTCAGTTCTTAAGATCTGCTTTGGGGTTCCTATGTTCCAGAAGGCTGGGTCTCTGTGTTGGCATGTTAACTGGACAAACTAATTGGCATTCATCCACAGTACCCTTGGACAGTCAAAGCGAGTGGGGTCTCCACTCCCCACATCCATCACCTTGCCAAGTCTCCTCCCTTGCTGTCCTGGCTGATCACATATGGAAGCTAAATATTCTGGGGCCACATGAAAGGCAGAGGGTAGCCGGGGGCCCTAAGCTCAGTGGGAGGTTGATAGTAGCAAGAAAGGGGAAGAGAAATAATTCTACATCAGAAGTCCAAAAGAGACAGGCCTAGGTAACAGTAAATCCATTTTGCCTCTGGTGTATAGGAAGCACATTATTTAATTCTGTTGATTAGAATAAATATTTAATTAATAAGGTTTCTAGTGGAATAATAAAAAATACTTAATGGAGGAATGACAGCTATTGAGAACCTGAAGGCAGAAGGTAGCAGAGGAGGGTAGAGAGCAGTAATTAATGTTCCTTCAAAGATGCTATTTGAATAATTACACTAGGCTCATTTTCCCCCTCAGTATCTAATTCAAACCTCCACATCTTAGGAGGAAACCTGATCTGTTAAATTCAGACAACATGCACAATAATAATATTCAGAGAACCCCACGGCAACCCTGTCATAAAGCAAGTTCTACTCTGATAGTAAAACTTGCATAAATAATAAATGGGCAGGCCTCCCCTGGTGGCGCAGCGGTTGAACGCTGGGTTGCGAGGCTGCCCGCAGCTTCTGCAGCGCCAGTTCGATCCCCAGCCACCCACGAGGGTCCCACAAAAAAAAAAATAATAAATGGGCATAGGTGGCATCAAGGATTTTTAAAAAGCCTTACACACATGTGTGCAATTATAATCTGGCCATAATTAAAAGTAATTCCATGACAATTTTAAAGAAAAAAAAAGGTAAATAACCTGGCAGACAATAAGTTTAAAAGTATTTCTCTTCTCTACATTTCAATAATACAAATATTTAGTGAAAGTCTTAATCAGGGATAATAAAGACAAAGGGGAGTGTTAAACATTCAATTTAGTTAAATTTTTAAAAATTGCTACATATTTAGGATTTTAAAAAATTACTTAATAAAGATAGGTACAATAAAGTCATACATTTGGAGCAATTAATGCCTAACAGTATCCAATGGAGAATATTTTCATTTCTTTGTGAGACAAAGAATGAGTATTTTTACTTCATTTTACAAGCATTAACACCCACTAAGATTTTATCATAAAAGTAAAAAAAATAAGCCATTTGAGGATCATAATAATAATAGTGAAAAATATGTATAGATGTTGGTTTCCATTTTAAAAATGTAAGGGTTATAAATGCTGCATTCATATTTTGGAGAAAGCACATTCTACCAGGGAGCATTTGTTACATGCAGCCCTAGTTTAACCTTTCTCATGCAAATCATTGTGTCTTTCTAGGAGAAAATTGGAAGGCAAGACTGAGAGGTTTATGAGGGGCCACGACTCACATCTGTGCAACAGAAAGCTGTTTTCTCAAACCATCGACATGAAACTTCTCATTGTGTGCTGGCTGGCTGGCTCACTTGCTCTGGAGGGGCGTGATTAGTTAACATCAGGGTGGGTTAGGAATGCTGCTGCTAAGACATCTGCCTGAAAACAGTGCAAAGCACCAGAAAATAGCTTCACACCATGCAGAATGGAATTCTAATACTCAAGAAATCAATTTAAGAATCTGGCAAAAAAAAAAAAAAAAAAAAAAAAAAAAAAAAGCCCTCCTTAAAAATAGAAAAAGTGCTAACAATTTATTCATTCATGCAGAACAAACTGCTGTAATACGATCTAAACCAAAGAACTAATCATTTTTAAATGCCTCATTGTGAATTTCAGTCTGCTCCTTAAAGCTATGATGTTGAAACATCTTTTCTTAAGACAGGAAATATCACATTCTCATTTGGTTTAGAAATCCATTTAATTTTTCATAAATAGGCTTTAAAAAAGAAAACACTGTTCTTCTATCCACCCAAAATAAGGAATAATGAATGATAGGGTGGGGCATACTTGGAGGAAAATGGTCTCAGATAAAATATTATACACAGTTTCAGGAAGCAAACCCAAGGATTTTTTTTTTTTTTTCCTGTGTAATGCTACCATTGAACTCCACCCGGATTTCATATTTTACTTTTCAAAGGGCAGGGAAATAAAACGTTACAATAAACCCAAATCACCTGTATATTTGCTAATAATCATCAATGACATTCAGAACTCAGAGGGTCCAGTCATGCATTATGAATGAATGGGTTTCCAATGGTAACTGGGAACCGAGGCTCCCAACCCCAGGCTTCTCTATCAGGGGACATGGTGGGGGGAGGGTCGCGTCACACTTCCCTTTCCCTTTTACCCTGGGTGTTGAGGAAGGAATTCTGAAAATTAAACATCTCATCCCCACCTTTGGACCCAACAGAGAAAAATTCTTTTACTTGCAAGGGGGAAACTTCTCTTTAAAATGAGCCAAAATACACATTAAAACAAAGACAGTAAAATTACAGATCTAGTAGGATCACATTAGGCACTTGACAAGAAACCCAGGCATGACTTTCCCCTATTCTTGTTACTTGGTGCCTTTGTTTAAGCAGAGTGGCTCTCCTCCGGTCTTGTAGTTACAAAGCCTGCAGCATCATCACGAGCGAGAAGAAGGAAAAACAGAAAGAAAACAGCAAGACAGAGCGAAACAACAGAACAGCGAGAGCAGAAGCGGGTCATCCACCTGCATCATACTAAGCAATTCAAATATTTCGGACCTACCCATTTCTGCAGAAAGACTAATCAACGAGGCAAAGAATCAAATCCTCCCAAGCCTGTGGCTGCAGCTCCGCGGCAATCCAAAAGAACAAAGCGCATTTCTGCTAACACCTCAAGTTTGGAAGCACCATGCAAAGAGACTAGTTAAAATTCCCTACCATGCAGTGCAGCCATCATCACACGCCCGGCATCTCTTCTGCTCTATGGAGGGATGTGCCCGTGTATGCCCAGAGCAGAAAAAGAGCAAAATGGAGGAAAATGAGAGGAGGCGCAGGAAAGTCGGTAGGAATGTTTCTGGGTCATTAACAAGTGGGAGACCCCTCTCGGTGTTCAAGCCAATCCATCTTTATCTTACAGGACATCTTTTTCCCACTCAGCGTCTGTTGAAAAGACTGCAGCAAACCCAGCAAGGGATTGTGGGATGGGGATGCAGCAGCGAGCAGCGCTGAGATTCGTGGGTGGCTCGCTTGCCCCTCTGAGTCAGCAGTCAGCTGTTTGCAGGCTCTCGTGCTGGGCAGCGGGGGTCCAGCAGCTCAGTGTGCGCGCAGGAGGCCCCCCGGAGAGGCTACCCGCGCGCCTCCCGCGCCCGCGCAGCCAGCGCAGGCTCCCTGAAGTGGTACAGGCCAGAAAGGGGTGTGCTGATAAGCAAAATGGGGGTGCAGGGAGCCTCGACTCCAGAAAGAAAACGAGGTGTATGGGATCTCAGTATGAAAAGTTAAAATTTAAGAGTGTTTTGGGTGAGTGTGTGAGCACACACGGGAAAAAAAGGTGATCTATTTCCGTAGACATTTCAAGTAGTGGGAAATAGACACATAAATGAAACACAATGCAGAATAGCCCCAGTTCAACAAGGCTTTATCACCTCTTCCCCTCTTGCTATTTACTCAGGAAATAAAATAGAGTTCCTCCATGTCAAATCATGCAAATGACATTTCTCTGCCTTTTTTATGGCTTTGATGGTTCAAAGAAAAATCATATATAAACAGAATCCCTCTCTCTGAGGCAAAAGTTTCCAGGTAAAGGTTGAGAAACCTGAAGACGTTACATAGATACATAACCATAATTCCTATTGAATCATTAAACTTATTTAAAAAGGTGTTACTAACATAAAGATGATCAGCACGTGGCCATATAAAAAATGATTAGGTCCTTATAGTCAAAATAATGCTTTAGAATTAAAAAAATTCTTTCATATCACAATGGAATCACAATCATTCCCTTTTCTACAGCAATGGAGGTAGGGAGCCCTTCTGTTTTTTATTTCTTGGTTAGTGACTACTTTAGGAGTGAACACAAATAATTTTTACTCATAATAAAATCATAAATTTGCATATTTGATTACATTAATATTCATCACATTCCTTCTGATAGTCAGGCATTGCATTGAGCATTGAAGGGGTGCTCAGCTTTTCAGGGGTGACTTTCTTGGTGGTAGGGGAGAGAAGGTCATAGTGAACCCAGGGCAATGGACAGATCCTGAAAACACACATATGCCAATTTTGACATATTATTCCAGGTGGTATGCAGTTCTCAAAATCTCAGGTGTACACTCCACTTTGGAAGTTTATTTAACAGCTTTACTAAGAGTAATTCACACACCGCAATGCGCCCACTAGAAATGTATGAGTCAATGGCTTTTAGTATGGCCAAGGTTCTGGTCAACCACCACCACAGCTGATTTAGAACATTATCATGACCTCAAGAGAAACCCTGTACCATTTTGCTACCAACCCATCAACTCATGGTCTTCAACAATCACTTTCTGACACTAAATGTCCTTATTCTGAAGTGTCACATGCTGGGATCACGTCATAGGTGGTCTTAGATGTTTGTCTTTTTTTACTTAGTATATTCTCAAGATTTGTCTCTGTTGTAGCACATCACATTTCATTCCCTTTCATGACCGAACAATATTCTGTTGTAGGGACAGAGTGTTATTTGTTTGTCAGCTGAAGGACATTTAGGGTGTTTCTACTTTGGAGCTATTAAGATAATGCTACTAAAATACATTCATGTGCTGTGGACATTCATATTTTGTGCACATAATCATCTCTTTTAATTTTATGATTTAATTAGAAGCAACTCCCGAAACTAAGGCAGGCCAGCCCCTCCAGTGATGATGTGCCCCTCCTATGACAGGCCATCACAAGCTGCCTGACTCGCTATGACCAAAGTCCTCACTGCTCATAGTGCTGCTGAGCCATTCTGGAAGCCGAATTCATGGGGTGTTGACCCCTCCTAAAATACCATGACCTCCACCCTAAGCATACCCTCTCTACTTCTCCTCCCTATTCAATCTAAGCTCTGGGGTGCACAACTGGAAGTGGGAGAGAACTGCGGTCCTGTTGCTCAACTTGCTGTCAGAGAAGGTTCACTTGTGCACGCAATCACGCATTCCCAGGAACACTTACCGAGTGTCTAGTGTGTGCCAGGGACAGAGCAGCACTGAGAAGACAGAGAAGAATGTAACTGTTTCTCAGCCTTAGGAAGCTCATAGCCTAGTGAGGTGGATGAGTAAGCAGGCAATTGTGAGACAAGTGGTAAATGCTTTGACTTGCATGAGGAAGTGGATGCTTTAGGAGCCCAAAGTGGGGACATGGCGGGCAGGGAGGATTTGGGCACCTTCCAGAACTGGAATGCAGCTCAGGCAAAGACTTAGAGGTTCGAGATGGCGCACAGGATTGAGAGTAGCAGCTGGGCATAGTTCCAGCCTGGGGTGAAGGAAGAATAAATGAGGGTCATATGTGCTTCTGATGAAACACTGAGGATGAGGCTGCTGCACCGCCCCCTCCTGCTGCTTCCCCCAGTGAATAGACATTAGAGAGTTAACTGTCTTCAGCCAGCGGGACTGTGATGTACACTGCAGAAGACCTATGCATTAGAATGGGACATGGCTAACCAAACTGGGTTTGGCCCAATTCTAGGAGATGGGAACCCAAAGTTTACTGAACATGTCTTTTTTTTTAAAGATTTATTTTATTTATTTATACATATAAGAGCTGGGGTATAGGCCAGAGGTGCAGGGAGGGGGTGAGAGGATTCACCAGAGACAGAGTAGGGAACAGAACAGGTGGATCCACTGAAATACACTGCTGAGGGGAGCAGTAGGTGAGACAGGAGAGGTCTGCTGCGCCAGGTGGGTCAGCTCCTTGGTCGGGGATCAAACTCATGCTGCAGTGGCTTGCGATAGCTTCATAGTGCTGAGACTAAACCCCTTACGCCATCAGGGAGGGCCCATTACTGAATATGTCTTATGTACTAGACTCAACCCCAAGTTCTTTATATAGTCAAAGAAATTTCTACTAGAAAATAGGTTCCTTAGGTTGGTGTACATGGCCATTTATGATCAGGTCTCTGCCTTCCTTATTTTTCTCCACCTCTGCCCTCTGCAGTCATAATCTAGTTACTAAGACACCATACCGTGTGTATGGGGGCATGGGGAAGCACCACTGACATGAGGTGCCCCAGGGGTAGGGGTACCAAACATCCCCCCATACATGTGACAGTCTCATACAGGTCCACTGGTCCCCTCAAATTGCCAACAGCACCCCCTTTGAGAAATACTCATTTCTAGACTCATATGCCACTGGTTCTGCCAGGAATGCTGGTATTTACTCCCACCTTTCCCAGGGGAAGTCCTTTTGATCCTTCAGAACTCAGTGAAGCCGCCACTCACTTCAGGAAAGGTGCTCAGAGGCCTCCTCCAGCCCAGGCCTCCCGCCCCATTCAGGACAGGGTGTCACTCTCGTGAGTGACACAGCATTCTCTGCTAAAACTGTTGGCACTTCCATCTGTTGACCTCTAGCTCCCTAGTACCTGTCACATGGTAGGTGCCCAATAAGTAGATGCAGAGTGACAAACGTGCTTCTACAAATGAACAAGTGACATAACATGATGTAAAGGTAAATGTTCATCTCAGAATTGGAAAATAGTTGGACCACAGACCAAGAACGAAAGGCAATTCTTTATAGCTGATTCTTTATAGTCCATAATTTAAAAAGCCTGCTGATTAGAGAGGTCATTTGTTTCAGTGAGAGATAAATACAAGCACCGAGAAGGGGCAGCTTGAAATCAGGAGCCTATTCACTCTGGGAAATGCATCATCATTTACCTTTATCTTTGCTTCCAAAAAAAATTATGAAAATTATTGCCCAACAATCTTCTGAAAGAGGATAGTAAGGAACAATTATTTCCAGCTTTCAATTCAAGTATGAGCGAACTAGGGGAGAGCTACTGCTATGGTGGATTTCACAAGCCAGCACCCTCCAAACCAGGGTCCTTCCAGCTAGTCAGACACTCTGCTGTCAATGTGGGTAACCTGGATCCCAGGAGTCTCTTTCCTCTCTATTGGCAGTGGCTCTGGGGTGCCCCATTTCCACATCAAGGTTTGGGGTTGTGTCTCTTCTTCAGTGGCTACAGAGAGGTCCTAGTCCAAACAGGACAGTCTGAAAATAATAGTGGATGAAGCAGAAAGGATCTTTCATCTAAGTGTCCTTGAGAAGAGAGAAGGCCCAAGTTACCTTTAGCTTGGTGGGGTTATATGGGTAGAAATGGATTATTAACCAGGAAATCAGATGACCCAGTTGTAACCCAAAAACTCACATACAACTAGTCTGGCCTTGGGATTATCATTTAATGTACATTTCACAAAAACAAAAACAGAAACAAAAAAAACGGTGGTATAGTAGGCACTGATGATAGTACAGTAAATGAGATAGGAACAGAGCCTCTCAAAATCACCTCTGGGTATGGATTTTCCTGCCTCCAATTCACTGTCATGTTGATTGGGTCTTACGGGTCAGGACCAGCCACGGGGAGGGATTGCCTGTGTGATCCTTACAATATGCTGCCCAATACGGAAGACATGACGCAAGCAGGCTCTGGCCAGCACAGAAGAGAGTAAGACCGTGGCTGTCCTGGACGTGGGTCCAAACCTTTTACTGACAACTTCAAGTTCCCTTTACTTTTCTTGGCACTTCTGTCATATTGACTCACACTGCACAGATAACTCAAATTTGTGTCCACTAACCCTTTCAAAAGGAATTCTGATTGGTCTGTTTCTTCTTACGGAAGCCAGAGTGCTTCTTTTCTAGATGCTAATAAACCATACACTTGATAGTCCTCCATAATATTATGTTTGAAAGAGCCTAAAATTAGCCTGCAATAATACATTTCATCTTTGTAGATGAAAAATATATTTTCCTATGTCCAGTCTTTCCTAAGCTCTCATAAAAATCAGGGCCCCTGATTAAGCAATCTTATCTGTGTATTCTTTCAAAAACCTAGATGTTGAAGTCAGGAGACTTAAAATTGATGTAGAACAACTAAGTTTTTTGTTAATTTTACTTCCTGCATTCATTTCCTAGGGCTGCAGGGAATCCCAGACGGGATGTACTGTAACAATCGAAATTTATTCTCCACACTTTTGGAGGCTGGAAATACAAAAATCAAGGTGTCAGCATGGCG